GCATCCATGTAAATGCAATATGTAATATTGAAGCTCTAAAGCCATAAGACAACTAAGCCTCGACCTTTGCCAACACAGCCTCGAAAATCAATTCGGGCACTCACTTTTTTGACCCCGCGTTGGGTACCTGTCCACGTGGGATTTAAAAGTCGTGTGAGACTCTGACAAGACTCAGCAGTGAGTTCAGGAAAAACACCCGGAGGTGTTGAGGTGTGTGTGCTACATTCTGTTAACTCACAACGGACGTCGTGTCTTGGGCTCGCAAGCAGCAGCGGACTCGGACCGCCCTCAATTGAGGGCGTGCCGTGCCCGAGCGGCCAGCAAGCGGCCACTCGAGCCGCTGCCCGCTCGCCATCTCCACACAGCCACCATTGCGAAATCCGAAGCCCTAAACCCTAGTAGTAGTGGGTGATCCCGACCCCGTGTAAAGGCGGTCTAGGTGGAGATGGCTATGGCGGCCCGAAACCCTAAGCCTTGCACGCCCACAAACCCCTAGGAATCCTGAAAGGCTCCTGTCAAGAATTTTTGCTCGCACCTAAATTCTCAGGCACGGCTTGCCTGGGCAGACACTGGCATTGTTTTTGCAGCATCGCAGGTGGGGTATTAGTATAGCTTTATGGCAGGTCCGGACTTGTTCAAGCCTATTAGAGAAAATTCTGGTGACTGGCTCTCCCTCCGGACGATTTCAAGAACGTGCTTAAGGAACACAAACCCGAACACGGCACAAGCCTGCATCCGAAAATCACGTGCCCCGGGTCTGACGTCCAATCCTTCCCTTGTCGCGGGCCGCTAAAGACACGAACCTACGGACCTACGGCACCACTTGCTTCCAGGAAACACTTACAAAGATTCACGCAGAGGTCGCAGAGCAGCCTCAGCCTGAGCCACTTCGGGGAGGAAACGCTTACGAGCCAGTGCCCGAATCCAAATGCGAGTCAAGCAGCCACGCGCGGCGTCTCCAGGTAACCTGATACAGGTATAGCTGACCGCCACACCCCTACACGTACCCTACCTTCCAACTGAAAGCTGCGCTTTGTGGACAGCGACTTAGAATCCTGCTGCATGTCTTCCGTCTTCGTCCCCGTCAGACTCACCCACATGGTCTGTGTCCTTGGCATAGTGGAATGTGTTCAACCGGGTTTCAGAGCAATGGGAAGCGACCTTGCGGGATCTGCAGCGATAGACTCTCGGCTTCACACGTAGATTATGATCTGCTCCACATTGGCAAGTCCTTCACAGCGATCGCCCAATTTCGTTGCCAAACTCGGTGGCTAGGAATATTACATCCCAGTCCCACGCGCCATAGCCGGCCTTGCTGGAAGGAGTTGACAATGTTGTAGTGATCCAACTGGGCGTGGCAAGGCGCAATCAAACATTGCACCCGTTCTGCAGTAGAGCTGCCCTGAAACGGACGAGCGCCATACAGGGGCATTCAATGGACGGATACACAATTTCCCGAATGTGTGGCGCTCCACTGAAAGCATAAACATACGGAAGCGTGGCCGTGCATGGACCGATGTTGATCAGCTGCATGAATCAAACTTAAACGCATCAAATCAAACAAAGAAATATAGATCATGAAAGACATCGGATTCCGTCCAAAATGCAACTCCGAGGCTGAGGAGGTGATCGCTTCAAACGCCGGAATGGATATGCAATACATACCTGCCTACCTACCTACCTGCCTACATACATGGCCGTTTGGAGAATATGACTTAACGCTGGTACATATCTCACCAAGTCTACGCGAGCACGCAGAGTGCACACATGCATGTAGCACACATAAATGTGAATGTATGTGTATGGCTGAAAGGATGCATGTAAGTGCGTACGGGTGTATGTACATTTGTATGTATGTATGTATGTATGTATGTATGTATGTATGCACGTCCATGCATGCACATACGTGTATGATTATGTATGTATGTGACTGCATGTGTATACAGATTTATGCAAAGACATGTAGGACAATGTAGGACCACACAAGCACATGTGCTCCATGTTTCTTCACCCGTGGTGTCCCAAGGCACAGGTGCAGTTTTTTTGGATTTCAGGCTGTGCGGCTCGAGGGCTTTGCTGCAGGCGGCTTTGTCCACAAACCCTCGAACCCTGAAGCACTGATCCCTGCCTTCGAAGGCGTGGCCCGCTGGTCGGAGACAATGTCAGTCGCATTGGCCCTTCCGAAAAATCGCACGTCAAGGTTGCAGAGCTCGTCGGTTGCGTTAGCGCATGACAGCAAGGCGATGGGCTGCACTCCAACCGGTGGCTGCACGAGTCTGAAAACTGCATAAACCATGGTCCAAGTTCAAACACTTCTGCTGGCTTTGTTTGCCTCAAGAGCATGGGATTTAATTTGCATCCACAATCCACGAAGATTGTCAGCACCGGTCAGCAAATTCTACAAGATCTATTGCCTGTACCCTCGCCCGCATGTCAGCTGTTCCTGGTATGCACCCGCATCGCGTATGCCCCAGCTTTGCGGTTGAGACATGAAGCCTTGTTCTTTATTATGGTTGCAGCCCGTAACTCGAAAATCGCCTTACGCTTCGCCCTTGCGCGCTCTTGTGCACACACTGCTTTAAAAGCATTCACACCGTGAAGCCCTGATGAACCATGTTACACTACTTTATCGCCCTTGCGCTCGCCCTTGCGCATGCGTGCGCTTTTGGAGCAAGTCCTGAACCTGAATCAAAGTATTCCAGCGCGGTGTTAGCCTACAGTCCGAGGCCGGAGCACAAGCAACACGACAACGGGCAAGACAGCAGTGCCAGGCCTGGATGTATCCTCCGGAGGCTCTGCCTGAGGTGATCCTGGCATGACCCTGTCTCAGGAAGGTCCTTGCATCTGCAACCTTCCGATTTGATCGTCCTGGGCTGGGAGTCCGTCGTGTTCCGCTCCGAGGCTGAGGAGGTGAGCCTGACGGTCTGAGAGTGTTAGAAGGACTCGGCCTTGGCTACCCAAACCGATTGGGGGGCTTTACAATGCGTCTCAGATGCCATCTGCTACCGGAGACGTCGGCGCAGAAGGCCTGCACCGTTGCGCTCACTTAAGTCACCCCGATTACTTGAGCTCTGCAGGCACCTCGGGTTCGAGAGATCCTGCCCAGTGCAAGAGGAATTATGCGAGGTATGTGCATCCTTGGAGATCTACGGGACAGGAGAACCCCCTGTGCTGCGCAGCACCGGGCCTTCCAGGAGAGCCGACGTTGGAATGCAAAGTCCTCGCCTTGGTCGTGGGCGTCTTTGGGCTCACTTCGCCTTCGTCCTCTCCCTCAGTCCAGCCGGGGCCTGAAGAGCGCTTTCGTAGGCCTTGCGTGCGCGATCCCTGCTCTCCGCCGCATTGTGCCCCGGTTGCTGAGATCGGAGCTCGGTCGCTTCACGACCTCCAGAGATCACAATTCTAGGCTTGCAATATCGCATGAGTCTCCTATGCAACGCTTATTTACAAAGGCTGCCTGTGATACCTGTTTTGCTTCTATGCAGCACATCCTGGAAGAGAAACTCAATGGATTCTCTGCCGGTTTTCATCGTCTGGGCTCTCGCTCTTCGTTTCCACAAGTGCTTGGGTTAGATTTCCTGTGGGGGAAGACACCAATTCCTGTATGAAGCAGTGGCGAGTCAAGAAGCTGTGTACGAGGCATATGACGATGCCATAACCCTGAAACCGGCGGTGTCAACAACCAGCGCTTGAACCATCGCCCAAGCGAACTGCTCGTCGGCGCCTCATGTTTTCATAGGAAGAGCTACAGCATCACATGCCAGATGCTGCTCGTTCGATGACCGCATGAACAGTGGGTTGTTTTTATGGGTTTTATTCTCCCCCCCCCCCCCACAACTGCTAATCTCCCATATTGCAAAACTACCAGCGGAAACTGGTAGCACCACATTCAGCGGTACACACACACTTGACACATCGTGTCGCAGGTCTCAAATCACACTCTCAAAGTCAGAAGAGTCAGCTTCTTGATGCACCTTGAACCTTTGGCCTGAACTCGCACTCAGAATCGCACTCGGAATCACCAATGTACAGCGACGATGTCATTGCAGAACCATTGCACAGCTTGCACTATGGACGATGTCACAAATAATTAGCAGGTACACAGTGGAGCGTCCTCCACTGCTTCACAGGCAACTGATGAGCGTCTTTGTTAGTGCCGGTCTCACCAGTGCCCCCGGCACCCCCTGCATTAGACACACTCGACCCTTTGGAACAGGGATGGACACACACAAGCCCGAGTGGGCTCGTTGTAGAAGCATTCACATCCCTTGCTCGTCACTTGCACATCCCTTGCACGTCCCTTGCACATCACTTGCACGTCCCTTGCACGTCCCTTGCTGCTTTTTTCACTGAAATTCATGGAAGAGTCTTATGCTCAAGACACCTAGGAGAGCGGGTTACGAAACCTCAGGAAGCGCAGTCTGTGCACTAAGTGCAATTCAACTTCTGCTTCTTCCGCATCGGCATCAAAGTACATGCAACATTGAGTTGCAGTTATGTACGCAACGCTGGCCAGTGACACGATACTCACTCGCAAACGCTCCTGTACTAGACCTACGACAGCTCTCATCCACCTTTTTGACGGGCTGCTCAACATGGTGCATGCCACGACATTGATCTGTGCAAAACGGATGGTGGTATGCAGAGACTGAAAACCCATGGTCCACTTAGTCGAAGAGGACAGCCGGAACTCCTGTATCCCACGTCGCAGAAACGTGTACGCCACCATGGTGTCAGTAATGGGTTGTGCCTCTTCAACGTCATCATCTGCATCGAGACGGGTAATGAATGTGATTCTGGTTCTGATCGGCAACACGTACATCAAGACGTTATCGAGCACATCGGAAGCAGTCCAATCCATGATGTTCAGGGTCTACACAATTTTCCGAGTGCTTGAAGCGAAACTGCACACTCCTTACGTTGCACTTGCATAGACCTCGCACACCCTTGCATATCACTTGCAATTCACTTGCGCATCACTTGCATTCCGATTGCACATCCCTTGCACATCACTGCTCTTGACTCGACAAAGAGGTGGGCTCTTTTTATACCGTAACGACGAAATCGATTGGTTCGAGGGTTTGAGCAGTCGTAACCGGTTCTGTAAATCGAAGGTGACGAAAGTTTTGTACAAGCTGGAAGGTGTGCAACCTAGGCCACCAGCCGAACTTCTCCCAAAGCTGCATCGCGACAAGGTATTTGGCACCGTTGATGGAATCGTTGATTGACAACTGGGTGTGGAGGATAATAGTCTCGTGTCCGGTTGCCCGACTGCATACACGAACCCACATCCGAAAATTGTAGTCGCGGCTGGTACTCCAAGGCAAATTGGCTTCGCTAGCCTTGCGCTTCATGATGGACAACCTACACGACTGCACTGGATGTCAAATGCTGCAACTCAAGACGGCTCATGAAGAAACCCTTGCACAGCCCTTGCACGTCACTTGCACGTCCCATGCAGAAACTCTTGCACATCCCTTGCACGTCACTTGCACGTCCCTTGCATATCCCTTGCTGGCTCACGAACGCTTGTTTGCAACTGCTCTCGTTTCACTCTGAGACTTCAATTTCGTCAACTTCTTCTGCTGGAAGTGTTGGGGGCAACTCTGTTGTTTCTTGATGTTGAAGAGAATTAACGCAATGAGTAGTCACAGCTTGAAGAGAATTCAAATCCGACAGCAAGTTCCCCACCACTTCGTTGGTCTTCTGAAGTGAATGAAACAGTTCTGTGGTGGCGGACATAACTTCCGCCACCTGAGCCTCAGTGTCCCTGATTTGTGTGGTGAGCACGTCGAGTTGAGCTTGTTGGATCTTCTGGACGGATAATGCTTCTTCACGAAAATGACGGAATTCACCTCTGATTGTGATCAGCTCCTGTTGTGTGTAGGAAATCCAGCGTTGAAGAGGTGCCAACGGATCGCACGCTGAGTTGCTCGACATTAGCGCAATGGAACGAGACTTGAGCAGGGTGCTGCAACACTGTTCTGGTGTGTACCACAACACGAGTAAACAAGTACTCTCAGCACTGGCGTCTACGGCACAGTTTTTCTCACTTCAGCACTCGCATGCGTTACAGATACAAGTGAAATCCTGTCACATCATTCATACTCAGCTAAGATCAGAAGACTGACTGCGTCGCCGTCGGCGTGAAACACGTCTTCTGGTAGGCATAGGTTTGGATCTAATCGGAGTACCTGATGCGGCTGAAGATGTAGGTGCGGCTGACGACGAAGCAGCATTGGACACCAAAGGAGATTCAGACACACGATGCGCCAAGCTTGCAAGTGGCACTGGGGGTGGAAAGACAGGAGCACTGGCACTGGGCGGGGGGAAGAAGGGAGGGGGAAGAGGGGGAGGGAGGGGAGGAGGGGGAAGGGGGGAGGGCCAGGGGGAGGGAGGGAGGGAGGTGCAGAACTGGACGAAGGGTTGTCGCTGCCTGCACTCGGTGTACTCCTCGATATTGGCAGAGAGGATGGCGGTGCATAGGGGTGGGATCTGGACGAACGTGATCCTGAAGCTCCGCTACTGCTAGGGCGTTCTTCACGTAGGTTTGCTCTATCCCTCTCATCCAAGCGACGCAACTCTTGCTGCAGCATTCTTTCTGTCCCGTCACGCACAAAAGCTGTCAACTGAAGTACGAGAGCTTGCCGAAGTTGTGGTCGTGATACAAAGTTGAGCAATCTCACACGCGCTGAATGGGTGAGCGCTCTCAGGAACTCATCAATGTTAGGATCCGAAGGTGGCACCGTCGGCATGCTTGCTTACTCAGATAGTCTGGTTTCTTGGCCGAAAACACTGCGATACACAGCACTAGCACTTGCTTGCACGTCACTTGCACGTCACTTGCACATCCCTTGCACGTCCCTCGCACATCACTCGCACGTCCCTTGCACATCCCTTGCTGCTCACGTTTCACTCTGCTTGGACGAAGAACTCGTACTCCAGGACACGGGGGCACAACTCTTGCTCTGGTAGTTTTTCAGCAAGTGACATGTAATCCTGTACACTCCCGGTGACCAAATCAAAAAAGAATCAAACGTTTCGGTTGGGACACTGTGCAGCGTACCAAAAATGGCAAGCACAGCGGAGGTTAGCTCTAATCAGCATTTTTGCACAAGCTTTCAACCGTGCTGCAGGATTTCGGTGAAACTGCATCGGATCGCCAAGCGTAATATCACTTGCTTCAGAAGGAACAGGTGAACGCTCACGTTTGTCCTTCTTAGACTTCATGGACTTCGGGGACTTGTTTGGTAACTGGTCCTTTTTCACCCTCTTTGATTTCTTGGACTTCTTGGTCTTCTTGCACTTGTTGGAGGACTTCTTAACCCAAGACGCCACCTCTGTGGGTGCCGAATCTTTGGGAGGATCGAAAGCCGAAGACCAGGAACTGGCATCATCAGGGAGATCGTCATATGGTACCCCATTGTCTTGACGGGAAGCCATATCGGTGTACCGAGAAAACAAGACGGAAACGGCTGGCGGCATCACATGAGTGAACAAGAAAGACTCCTTCGGCTTCCCGAGAGACAGAGAGAGAGAGGAGAGAGGAATGACAGAAAAGGCATACAACCGCGCGTAATGCTCCTACGCGCCATTTTTCAGTGCGCAAAGACGGTTCCACTTCTGCGGTGCAGGCGCTCTAATCCAGGAATGATGATTGTCCCAAAACTGTCAATTGGGAAAACGAATTAAGCAGACAAGTCGTCCGCTGTTCCAACATGATAAATGCTCTTACGGTGATGCATCTCGCTTGCGTTTTCGGGGTGACAAAGAATTAGTGCTCTCAGTAGGGAGGTTCAAGTCCACCGAAGAAGTCGTCTGAGAAGTTCGGTGCCACTGATTGTCAGCAGCCAGACGATCCGAAATCCAGCGAGAGGTGGCGGGAAACCAAGATTTCCACCACGTTTCATTGCCATTGGGTCCTTGATTTTTCACCCAATAAAATCGCCACGAAACAGTCGGAGAACGCGATCGGGATCGATCCGACATGGCGTGTACCGCTGAAAGCCGAATGCTGGAACTGAGCGAGGCAATTAAAAGATCTTAAGCGGGCACATTGCATGCAAGACGCTGCCTCGAATCACTTGCACTGCACTTGCACAACCCTCGCATACCCTTGCATATCACTTGCAGTTCACTTGCACGTCACTTGCACAAAACTCGCATACCCTTGCATATCACTTGCAGCCCACTTGCACGTCACTTGCGATCCTAACGAAGACAACGCTTGCACATCCCTTGCAATCCGCTAACATATCCCTTGCTCATCACTGTGATCTGACGCTTTCGGTTAACCCAATTGAATCTAGGTGAGTACACACATATCAGCTTCGCTAACATTTGCAGGTCTGCTGTCGACTGTCAACTGATTGCAAACCGCTTTTA